CTGTCATTTTCTAACCTGGACTCGTCTCTTTAAGGTGGTGGTAGTCCCCCCTTCAGACGAGACTCCCTTAGTGCCTGTGCGGTGCAGGTGCCGTGGGCACGCAGGACCAGGTCGTGGCTAGATCAGGTTCAGGGTCATCCCAGCTCCGCCACACTGGGCCAGTTAGACTTCCTCAGCCTCTGCCTCCTCATCTCACGGCACCGTGGACTGATGTCCGGATCCATCCTGTGAGAAACCACTCAAAGGCACCCCCGTGCTGTGTGCTTTTTCAGTAAACAATTTTAAAACAAACGGGTATCATGCCGTAAGCTTGTTTTAGCACTAAGAGATCCTCAAGTTTAAAGTGGGTGAAAAGCTCTCGGGGCACTCCTGTTAACAAACTCTAGTATTTTCTTTCTGGCTGAAGTGACCATCAGGTGATAAGATGTGTTTTGTTCTCGGGTCTAAGTCATCCATTTGTTAAGCCTGCCTTTCTCCCACCCGGGCTGGAAATTCTCGGGAGGAGGCGGGCGGTGTTACGGTTTCTTAGGTGCCATGTGTTCTCTCTCCTGAGCTGGGCTTAGAGTGATAACCGACCAGCCGCCGCATTATCCACCGCCCTCGACACTGAGCTTTGTGGAAGGACCGTGCATTTAAAATGCTTCATTGTTAATAAATATGTCAGCTTGCTGTTGCTATGGTACTCGGCAAAACAAATGTAGTTACGAATGAGGTTTTATTTTTGAACTCACCACGTTTTTCAACATCTTTTTCCCCTGTGTTTTCTCTTTCAGGCGCTAGACCAAGATAGAACAGCTTTGCAGAAGGTGAAGAAGTCTGTGAAAGCAATCTATAATTCTGGTCAAGGTAAGTACTCGTCACAGCAGATAACATGAATTATAGGCAGTGTCTGCAGTTTTCTCTGTTGTTTGTAAGATGCTGAGGTTATGGAAGACTTGCTCCAAATGGAAAAAGCAGTAGGTTAAAGAAGTGCAGTTTCTCTCTTTTTTTCTCAGTCCAACCCTGCTACTGTTTCCAAAGTAAAAAGCAAAACATGAGTTGCAGTGGGTGATAGTATACATTTAAAATCTTAGTAGATGGTGGATCACTTTGAAAGTTATATAAACGTCTAACCACCCTCCTGTGTGCCTGAAAGTAATATGACGTTGACTGTCAACTGTAATAAAACATTTGTTAAATACTTAGTTAAATTATAGGTAATTTTACCACAAGTGACATAGTAGATATTTAAAATCTCTGTGTCAATCTGTAAACCAGTGGCCTCAGTTACACACACGAGGATCTTTCTCTCTGGAGGGTACCTTCCACATTTGAAAATCAGTGAAAGTCTACAGCCATGCAACCCTGGATGCATCCGATCTTGTCTGATCTTGGAAGCTAAGCAGGGTCTGGCCTGATTAGTACTTGGATGGGAGAAAATCAGTGAAAGTCAGAGAGGGGCAGGGGATGAGGGGTGGGTGTTAGATGAAGCCCTGGACGCACCTCCGGCTACTCCTGTCTTGTGGCCGAGGGCATGCCAGGTAACCTGTGTAGCCAAATGTTTTCACTCTGGGCCAGTGACTCTGTCACCTTGAAGATAAAAGCGTGTTGTCAGTGGATAAGAAGGAACCAAATTAAGATAAGCTGCGGGGAACCAGGGAAGTGAATGGTAGGTCCCAGCGCCCCAGGGAAGGAGAGCCTGGGAACAGAAAATGAGTTTCTAGGTCTCTTCCCTCACATCTCTCGTCATTATTGAAATGCCAGCTTGCAGACCCAGAGGGCAGGTCTCCTATGAAATCTCTTCTCTGTAACATAACAGAACCTGAAGGGAGGGCAGCAGGGTCTGATAGGAAGGGCACCGGCTTGAAGGGGGGCACAGGGAGCCTGGCATCCTCGCCCTGCCCCATGCGGTCACTGCACTTTTTGAACATCCATTTTCTCCCCATAACACGGGGATCACGGCATTATTACAGGGTTGTTGAAGGGACTTAATGAGCTCATATCTGCAAATGCCGGCCACCTCATGGGAGTGCAGTACGTGCCATACACTTATATTTCATATACATTTTATATTTTATTTATACTATATTCATGGTCATCATGAGATTATAGTGCTGGAAGAAACATGGAACGAGGCAGAACTCGGCCCTCGCTGCTTTCCGGCCCTGCTCTCCTTCGGGCTGGGAACCCCGCCTCCTGAACTGGAGGCCTGTCTCTGGCCCTGAGAGCCCCGGGGCCTGTGACACTCTATCATCTTCCTGTTCACACTTTTCACACCTGGTTCCTTGGTACCTCTCTCCAATTTCTTATGTCCAATAAAACACTAACTTCTAATTAAGGTAGTAAATGACAGCTGTCTCCTTATGTAGTGACCAAGTGTTGTTTTAAGGCTTGGCCCAAATTACACACCCAGTTTATAACTCCTGTCTTCGCTGCACTGTGTGACTCCCACAGGGTGGCAGGCCTCAGAGGCACCCGCTGTCCAGAAGGAGGCGGATGGGTCACTGCGAGGCGGCACAGGGGCCTCTGAGGGGCTGGCATGGTTCTGTTTCTTGATTTGGGGGTGATCACATGGTTATGTCTGCTTTTTGATCATTTACCAAATGCTACCCTTAGGATTTATATACCTTTTCATATGTCTGTATGTCTGTTGTGCATTACTAAAAGTATATTTAAAATTCATGTACAAGTTGGTTCATTGAAGCATTTGGAAAAACAGAAAATAAACGGGGGGCGGGGTGCTAAATACACAAGTATATTATAAACAAAATGCTATACAGCCTTTATAAAAAAAAAAAAAGAAAAGAAACTAAGGCAGTGTAGACCTGAGTTTGAATCCTTGCTTTGTCACCACTTGTTAAAGTCAAGTAAATTATTAACTTCTCTAAAGCTTAAACTGCCTCACCACAAAGTGAGAAAATAATAACTGACTTGCAGAATATTATCCGGGCAAAATGAGGTGGTGTTTAAGGCCTCTGACGAACTGCCTGCTGCATAGTAGGTGCTTATTAGCACCTGGTGATGGGGGACTGGCAGTGGAAGCAGTAGCATGGTCCCCTCTGATTAATTCAGGCATTCCACAAATGGCTGGGCCACTCTGATGTTCTAAAGAGCTTAATGAGCCATTATCTGCCTCAGGAATAAGTGTCACTTCTCCGTAATGTTCCCCTTTGTGCTCCGGGCGCTCAGCTCGTGAGCCGGAGGAAGGGAGCCCTGATGTGCAGCTGGGCGGTGCTGCCGTGTTGAGTGCTTGGAGCTCCATGCGACTCCTTTTTCCCAAGTGTCCTTGCTGACGACATACTTCCCCCCGTGGCCACACCAGTGAGCGGCTCACGCAGGCTCTTTTGCTCAGGGCTGTGCTTTTGCTTTCAAGCGTTCCCTTGGCCGCTGCTGCCCTGGCTGCAGGAGCGGAGCTCGTCCCTGGCTGTGCGGGTGGAGAGTGCAGGGCGTGTGCAGAGTCCGGTTGCCTTTTTCCTTGTGGTTGGGGTCACAGCTAAGTGAGCTTTGACCACCACCCCCTCCACCCTCACCTGGATTACCTCTGTGTCCTTCACCCTACGTCTGCACTAGCTAGTAAATTAGCTTCTAGCCACATACGGCTTTTTAAAATTAAATCCATTACAATCAGAATTTAAAATGCAGGTCCTCAGTCTCAGTGGCCACCTTCTGTGCTCAGCAGTCACCTGTGCCCAGCCCTGCGGCACAGGCATCTCCACCCCCACACGCAGGCCTTGCTGCTGCAGGAGAACATGCATCCCATTGCACTGGAACTGTGGCCCAGTCTCTCCTGCATGAGACCAGGGAGGCTCAGCTCTGGTTGTTCTTTAGCATCGCCTGGAGAGCTCTGAACACACAGAAGCCGGGGTCCCTCAGGCCCACGCGCCTAGAGCTGTTCCGCAGGGGCCCCCGGTATGGGGATGAAAATGAAACTCCTCCCTGGTGACTGGAATGTGCAGCTGGTCTGTCAGCTCCCTGATGAGGACTGTCCCGTGTCCTTCATCTTTGTACTTTGTGTGTTTGTCAATGTAGCTTATTAGTTTGTTCAGCGGATGTTTATTGAGCACGGCTACTGTTCTGGGTGTGGGTGTGGTGGACAGTCAGACCGGATCGCCGTCTCCATGATTGTACAGCCTCGAGGGAGGGAGAGGTGTGAGTCAGGTCCTCCGCAGAAGGTGTCATAGTGAGGGACTGGGAAGTGTGCGAAGGAAAGCTCCCAGGGCACAGGGAAGTGACAGAGGGATCGGATGGAGCGTGAAGAGGGTCTTCAGGAGGACCTCTCGGAGGACATGGCGTTCGCTGGGGGTTGATGCTCTACTGAGCCCAGCCAGACAAGCCTGTGAGGTAGGTCTCCATTGCCCCCATTTTATTGATGTCGAGGTTGAAGCTTAAAGAGCCAGACTAACGTATGCAGGTGCCACACCGAGCAGGTGATGCAGCCAGAGCCTCGCTGGCTCCACCTTTGCTGTTGGCAGGTGCTCGGTGCCTACCTTCTACCTGACACCGGGCGGGGCTCACCACATGGGGAACGAACTGCTACTTGTTGGCTGGATGGCTCCCTGAGGAGCTCTCCATGAACAGCTTAAATATTCACGGATCGTGATTGTTCCTGCACGCATTGATCCAGTGTAACTTCCCGGCAGTGTAATCCATGGAACGACTTTGGGAGGCGTGGAAATGTGGGGACAGACTCAGATCTCACGGACTGCTGGAACCTGGCGGTTTCTGCTGTCACCAACGACTGTAACACACCCGGGGTTTGGTCAGCTTGTGTGGGCAGCACTAGGACATTTAATTCTTACAAAATAGCTGGATGAGTAAAACAGCGGCCCCGCAGATCTTTCCATGAGACAGGCTCCGTGGAATCCGCCCGGTTCCCGGCCAAGGGCTTTGGCCTCGTCCAAAGAAGCCACAAGAGGCTGCACCCTGGTATCTGTTTCCCAGTGTGTTTTCATAATGTTCTTGTTTTCTCACAGTGCTTAAGTGACACGAAACCATCTGATGCTCTTGAAAGATGTAGGAAGCATGTCTGTGTTTCTGCTCTGAGATTACAACCTCTTGTCTCCCCACCCCCTTGGATGATTCAAAAGATGGTGGAGAAGGGTGGAGGGTCTTACTCTTAAAATATGTTTTTATTGATACACATAGGTCTTATCAGTATTATAACAGCAGAAATCTTACTAGGAAAACCAGTATCTCCCTGGAAGTGCTTTAGTTGGAAAATGGCTCTGGGAGTTTGTCTCTTCCTCTTGCTGTCCCTGCTGTGTCTGAGGACATTTTAAAAACAAAACACGAGTTCTGTGGACTCTTTGGATCAAGGGAAAATTCTCCGAGCCGTTCCATTTTTCTAAGTTTTAAAGTCTTAACATTATTCATCTGAGAAGTAGCTTGTCATTTAGAACAGTGGTTGCCAACCTTTCGGGCCTCACGGACCACCAGTTGGCAACCGCTGATTTAGAAACTGTGCCTCGGTGTGTGTCCCCAGCCCCCCTTCACACTCCCCCACTCTCTTCCCTGATAGCACACGCTTTTAAAAGCTAGGAGTTTCTTGAACACGATAGAGATTTTAAAATAAGTTGCAGTCATTGACTCTTTTTCTTTCAAAAGATGGAGCCTAATTTGCTTCCCCTTGAGCGTGGCTCCAAGTGGTGGTTTTAAGTATTTTGTCCATCATTTTTAATTGTTATTGACAGGAGCATTAGTCTGATAAGAGTTACTCTTGTCAGATTATCAACTACAGACCTTTAATTATAAAAGTTACATGTGAGCGACTCACTGATGAAGCCCTCACTGAGCATGTAGCCGTAGGGGATTGACAGAACACTCTTGGCTCACAGGGAGGTGATAGTGTATGACAGTGTCTGAAAGTG